TAGCTATTTCTAAGAAATTTGCCATAGGTCTCATAAAAGGTTATCAAATAGCCCACAAAATTCTGGCTAAACAATTCAGCACATTAAGTGAACATATTAAAGCACAGCATGGCGGTTAAAAACAAGTCTCTAGAGCCAGAGTGCCTGGGTGCAAAGCCTGTCACTTCTGAGATACATGATCTCGGACAAAAATTTACTTAATTTCTCTGATCCTCAGTGTCTTCATCTGTAGAAAGGGATAATATGTATGTAAAGCTCTTGGTACAGTGTCTGCCAAATTGTTAGCCATTATAACTTCAATGGCCTTATAATTATAGAAACTTAAATAACATATGACTGAGACATTGCTCCTCTCCTCAACCGGGAAAAATTGATGTTTTCTTAGGTTTTTGTTCTTAGTTACCTATCAACTAAACCACAGAGCAAAAGTTCCCAATCTCAGCCTCAGTCACCAAATCTCCAGGAGCTTCACCCCTGTGAGGTTATCCTAAGGACTCTCAAACACCAAACCTACTCTGCCTCTGCCACAAATCAACTCTTGAGTCAATAAACATTGACTCTGCAAAGTACTTATCTCCAACCCCAACTGGAAAAAATAAATCTCATTTCCTTCTCTTTATCACCTCCACTCAGACAGCAAATAACCCAGAATCCTTCAGAATGACTTTCCTCCCCACCAACACCAAAGACAGCTCTTCTCCCACCCTCACTACTTTCTTTCCTGTTTTTGTTCAGTTATCTGTCATTTCTTCCTTCTGAGGCAAATCCTATTCAACCAGGCTTATGATTCTACTCCTTCAGTTACCTCCAGTACTTTGGGTCATCAATTTTCAGCTCCTTTTTTTTTTTTTGAGGAAGATTAGCCCTGAGCTAACATCTGCTGCCAATCCTCCTCTTTTTGCTGAGGAAGGCTGGCCCTGAGGTAACATCCGTACCCATCTTCCTCTACTTTATATGTGGGCCGCCTACGACAGCATGGCTTGCCAAGCGGTGCCATGTCCGCACCCAGGATCCGAACCGGCAAACTCCAGGCTGCCAAAGTGGAATGTGCGCACTTAACCACTGCGCCACTGGGCCGGCCCCAAGCTCTTATATTTTTAATGTTTCCCTCCTCATTGGCTTTTCCCTTTCTCCATACATTCAGAAGGGTCCGTGCTATCCCTTCCCCCACCAGCACCTTCATAAAAAGTTACCACCTCCTTTTTCTCTTCTTTCCTGTTAAATTTCTTAAGAGTACAGCTATATCCTATTTAGCATGAACAACAAAGAGGATTCAAAAACTCTTTCAATATAGAACTAGGCAAAAAATCGATAAGGAAGCGGATTAGCATAAGCCAACTAGATCCAACAGAAATCTACAGAAGTCATCGAATAACAGCAGAATATACATTCTCCTCGAGAGCACATGAACATTCTCTACAGAAGGCCCTATATATTAGCCCACAAAACAGATCCCAATAAATTTCAAAGAATTAAAATAAAGTATGTTCTCCAACTACAATGAAATGAAATGAAAAATTAATAACGAAGAAATTTGGGAACATCACAAGTATGTGGAAATTAAACAATACACTCCTAAAAAAACAATGGGTCAAAGAAATCAAAAGGGAAACTGGAAAATAATTTGAGATGAATGAAAAATGAAAACATACAAAAACTTATGGGATGCAGCTCAAGCAGTGCTTGAGGGACATTTATAGCTCTGATTGCAAATATTTAAAAAAGAAAATCTTGGGGCTGGCCCGGTGGCACAGTGGTTAAGTTCGCACGTTCCACTTTGGCAGCCTGGCTTTCGCCAGTTCGGATCCCGGGTGCGGACATGGCACTGCTTGGCAAGCCATGCTGTGGTAGGCGGCCCACATATAAAGTAGAGGAAGATGGGCATGGATGTTAGCTCAGGGCCAGTCTTCCTCAGCAAAAGGAGGAGGATTGGCAGCAGATGTTAGCTCAGGGCTAATCTTCCTCAAAAAAAAAAAAAAAGAACGAAAAGAAAAAAGAAAATCTCAAATCAATAACCTAAACTTCTACCTTAAGACACAGGAAAAACAAAACCAAACGAAACGAAGTGAGCAGGAAGAAGGAAATGATGAAGACTAGAGTAGAAATAAATGAAACGGCAGAAAGACAAGACAATAAAGTGGGGGGGAGGACGGAGATCAATGAAACCAAACGCTGGTTCTTTCAAAAGCTCAACAAACCTTTGACAAACCTTTGGCTCCACTGACGAAGAAAAAAAGCAAGAACTCAAATTACTAGGATGAGAAATGAAAGAAGAGATACAACTACTGATCTTGCAGAAATAAAATGGATTATAAAGGGATACTATGAACAACTGTATGCTGATAAACTACATAATGTAAATGAAATGCACAAATTTATAGAACAACACATGGGGCCGGACCCGTGGCCGAGTGGTTAAGTTGGAACGCTCCACTTCTGGCGGCCCAGGCTTTCGCCAGTTTGAATCCTGGGCGCGGACACAGCACCGCTCATCAAGCCATGCTGAGGCAGCATCCCACATGCCACAACTGGAAGGGCCCACAACTAAAAATACACAACTATGTACCGGGGGGCTTTGGGGAGAAAAAGGAATAATTTAAAAAAAAAAAAATTAAAAAAAAAAAAAAGAATAACAAACTACCAAAACTACCCAAGAAGAAATAGACGATATGAATAGACCTATAACTAGTAAACAGACTGAACTCACCACCAAAACACTACCCAAAGAAGCCAAGAGGGCTGCACTAGTGAATTCTACCAAACATTTAAAGAATATACACCAATTTTTCATAAACTCTTCGAAAAAACAGAAAAGAGGAAACACCTCCCAACTCCTTGAGGCCAGTATTACCCTGATATCCCTTAAAATAATGGATGCGTAAGTTCTTATCAAAATACCAGCAAATCTAACCTAGCAACATATGAAAAGAATTACACACCACGACCAAGTGAGATTTATCCCAGGAAAACAATGTTGGATTAACATCCAAAAAGCAATGTAATCCACACCATATTAATGAATAAAAAATAAAACCCACAGGAGCATTTCAACAGAGGCAGAACAATCCAACACCCTTTTCCTGATGAAAACACTCAACAAAGTGAAATAGAAGGGAACCTCCTCAGCCTATTAAAGGCCGCTACAAAAAACCCAAAGCTAACATCACTGAATGGTGAAAGACTAGAGGCTTTCCCCCTAAGATCAGGAAAACACAAGGACGTCTGCTTCAATACTTCAACTTCAGTGTTCAATACCTCAATACTGGATTGGAGGTTCTAACCAGCGAAACTGCACAAGAAAATGAAATAAAAGGCCTCCGAAGTGGAAAGGAAGAAGTAAAACTATCCCCATTTGCAGATGACATGATATTGTATATAGAAAATTCTAAAGAATCCACTAAACAATTATTAGAAGTAAAAAATGAGTTCAGAAAGTTTTTTAGGATATATGACCATCAAAAAAAATCAATCCTAGGGGCTGGCCCAGTGGCATAGTGGTTAAGTTCACGAGCTCTGCTTTGGCAGCCAGGGTTCGCCGGTTCGGATCCTGGGTGCCGACATGGCACTGCTTGGCAAGGCATGCTGTGGTAGGTGTCCCACATATAAAGTAGAGGAAGATGGGCATGGATGTTAGCTCAGGGCCAGTCTTCCCCAGCAAAAAGAGGAGGACTGGCAGTAGTTAGCTCAGGGCTAATCTTCCTGAAAAAAAAAAAGAAAGCAATTCTATGTATAATAATACCAAAAGAAAACACTTAGAAATAAACAAAAGTGTCAAACTTATAAACTAGAAAACATTGTTGAAAGAAATTAAAGGTCTATTTTAAATAAAGAGAAAGACATCCCACGCTTATGAATGAAAGATTCCAGACTGATAAGATGGCAAAACATTGGTGAAAATAATTAAAGATGATCCAAATAAACAGAAAGACATCATGATCATGGGTCAGAAGACTTAATTCTGAGAATACGGCAATATTCCCCCAAATTGATACACATATTTGATGCAATCCCCATTGGAATCCCAGCTGGATTCTTTGCAGAAACTGCCAAGTTGATTTGAAAATTCATATGGAAATGTAAGGAATCCAGAGTAGCCAAAACAATCCCGAAAAAGAATAAAGCTGGAAGACTCACACTTTCCAATTTCAAAACTCACTACAAGACAACAGTAATCAAGACACTGTGGTACTGACATAAGGACAGACATATCAATCAATACAACAGAACTGAGAGTAAAGAAATAAACCCACGAATCTACAGTCAACTGATTTTCAACAAGAGTGCCAAGACCACTCAGTGGGGAAAGAAGAGCCTTTTCAACAAATAGCACTTGGACAACTAAAGAGCCACATGCGAAAGAATGAAGCTAGACCCTTAAACCTCAATGGGAGGTAAAAGAAAAAATGTTAAAGCTTTATATTCACAACGAAAAGAATGGGAGATGAGACTACAGCCAACAGCATTTCAGAAGCTAGACAGCAGATAGATGAGCGATAGCTTGACTTAGTTCTCCACTATGGTCACTCTGCTAAGCCAACAGCAGGGCAAGCCTAGAAGCAAGACAGTTACCATCAACAGATCCCAGAAGAACTCTGAGATTCAACCTCCACACAAATAAAATGAGAAGAATTTTGGGGCCGGCCCAGTGCTGCAGCAGTTAAGTTCGCATATTCCACTTTGGTGGCCCGGGGTTTGCTGGTTCAGATCGCGGGTGCAGACCTACACACTGCTTGGCAAGCCATGCTGTGGTAGGCGTCCCACATATAAAGTAGGGGAAGATGGGCATGGATGTTAGCTCAGGGCCAGTCTTCCTCAGCAAAAGGAGGAGGATTGGCAGCAGATGTTAGCTAAGGGCTAATCTTCCTTAAAAACAAAAAAGGGAATAATTTCTATATTTCCCACCAAGTTATTGTGAGGAGCAAAACAGGAATTGTATGTGAAAGGGCTTTTCAGATAGTAACGTGTTATAAGAGTATGCTATAAAGGAGCCTTATCATTACCTTGCCACGTCATCACTCCAAGGAATCGATCAGCTACTTCCTGAGGGAAACTCCAATGCTCCGGAAGGCACAGGGTCCCATCAGACCTTTCAGAACACAATTTCTCCAGGTTAGCAATCAGGAAGTCCAGGCAGATGTTGACCAAAGAGTAGGGAGATGCCTCCTCCTAGCAAACAAACCCCCAAAGAAACTTAGTTAGCATATATCTACAAAAACTCAACATAAAAGTGGGCATGCCATATATCAAACTACTTGATGAGGCCGCCTGAAGGTACATTCTCCTCACTCAACTAATGATTCACACGTAATAAACCACCTTATTCCAACTGTTACCTGAAGGGAAGATTTGATCTGTTGTAGCTTCTGTTGTATTTTGAAGAAATTTAAGTTATTCCAATCCCTCACTTATCGCCTGTTCTGTGCCAGCCACTAAAAGTACAGGGATGAGTAAGATACAGTTTTAATCCTTTTGGAGTTAACAGCTTAGTGGGGAATACAACCAAGAAATCTGACAATTTCAATACAACACAAAGAACTGTTCAAGCAGAGATCAATGGTCAATCATTCAACAAACATCTCTTCAGTGATTACTGTGTGCCAGAGGATAAGGCCTGCCTACTCTCACCTTCAAAGCATTCAGGAGGTAAAGGGTTGCCACACCCAGAGCACTGCGGAAGAGTAGGAAGTGACAGGGAGGTGAGACTGTAAAGGCCTATTTCTCCTCTAAGAGGGACTGGCATTTGTTCATTCAACAGATATTTGAAAGGCATGGCACCATATTAGACATGAATAGAAAGTGATAAGCCAGAGACTGATTGCTATCTTTGTCAAATGCTTCAACATGCAATTAATTCATTGACCTCCACATTACTTTCAATTGATTAAATTCCCTCCACGGTCCCAAGTGTAAATTTTATTGTTAGTACTTTCAAGTCAATCCTGACTCCTAGCACCCCTGTGCACCGGAGAGTGGAACCCTGCCCAGTCTTTTTGCTCCATTCTCTCACCTTCCAGTGCCACATCAGACAAGACTCCACTGCTATTCATAGGGTTTTCATAGCCAGTTTTTTTTTCAGAAGTGGGTGGCCAGGTCCTTCCGAGTTTGCCTAGGCTGGAAATTCCGGTGAAACCTGTCCACCATGGGTGACCCTGATGGTATTTGAAATACTGGTGGGACAGCTTTCAGCATCACAGCAACACACAGCCACCACAGTATGACGACTGAGAGATGGTGGTATGGCCACCATGATGAGCACGCCAATATCTTAAGCGCTAGACCACCAGGGATGGCTCAGTATAATTTACTGTAGAAAATAAAGTATAAATTACTCCTCTGCAAATACCCTCAACTCCTTGTTCCCTCCTCCCTGACACTCTCGAGACAAAACTCCATTTCTGGAAGAACTTCACTATCCACATTTTTTGTGTCAACACCCAGCAGCTAATCATCTATGGAGAGGGGGAGGATTCACCCAACATAGCATGTCACGGCAAATTCATAATCAGGAACTTCAAATGAGCCCTGAGTAGCTGGAAATCCTGTCACGTCTCTTCAGACAGGGCACTCTCCACCACTGGGCAAGAATTACTTCACGCAGTCTACTTGTTCTTCAGACCCATTTTATGCTGATCTCACTTCACTGAGAAAAACGAAGCCAAGTCACCAGCAAATTTAGCTGGAAACTGCATGCATCTTTCCCTTATTCTCTTATGTGGAAAATGTGTATCTCCTTGCAAGGACCAACACTTCCATATGTGCTGGCTGGATTTCATCCCTCTTGCCTTGGCCTCTCTCCTGTTATTTCTTCATTCATATATACATCTTCAAACTTTCCTTCTCAAAAGTGTCATTCTCTTTTGCTTTTGTTTTTGTTTTAAAGATTTTATTTTTCCTTTTTCTCCCCAAAGCCCCACAGTACATAGTTGTGTATTTTTCGTCACGGGTCCTTCTAGTTGTGGCATGTGGGATGCCGCCTCAGCGTGGCTTGATCAGCGGTGCCATGTCCGCGCCCAGGATTCGAGCCAGTGAAACCCTGTCCACCGCAGCAGAATGCTCGAACTTAATGACTCAGCCAGGGGGCTGGCCCTCTCAAATGTGTCATTCTTAACAAACAATTCATGCTCAATTATTTGCCTTAAAGAAACTCTCTGTTGACCCCCACATCCTCTTCAATTACTCTTCATAACTAAACTTCTCTGATGTTTACTCTACATGCTGTAATAATCACTTTCCTCCTCTTCATTTTTGTTTTTAATTGAAGTATAACTTACATTACAGTAGCAGAAAAAAATTATTTTGGTGTATACTAAGTTGTACGAGTTTCGATGAATGCATAGTCGTGTACCACCACCATTGTAAACAGTTTCATGACTCAAAAATCCCCTAGTGTCCCTTTGTAGAGAACTGCTCCCACTAACCCTACACAACCACCTCTCTGTGTTCAGTCCCCAGAGTCCTGCCTTTTCCAAAATGTCATATAGAGTCATACAGTATGCAGGCCTTTCAAATCTGGCTGCTTTCCCTTCACACAGTGCACCTCAGATCGCACGCTGCTGCCTGTTTCTGTCGTTCACTCCCCTGTGCACCTGAGAAGCGCTCCACTGCATGCGCTACAGCTGCTTTATTCACCAAGTGAAGGGCATTTTGAGTGTTTAAAGTTTCTGACAATGTGAAATAAAGCTGCTATAAATATTCATGTAACGGTTTGTGTGAACATAGTTCTTATTCTTCTTGGGCAGTTACCTAGGAACGGGACTCCTGGGTCCCTGGAATTCCATACCTCCTATATGTATGTGTTTAACTTTACGTAAGAAAGTGCCAGCCTGTTCTTGGAAAGTGGCTGTACCATTCTGCATTCCCAGAAGAATTCAGGAGAGTTTCAGTTGCTCCAAATCCTCACCACGTCAGAATTCATGTCATAAAAGAGGCAGGGAAGCAAAAGAATTCCCTGAAACAGTCTCAGCAGACTTCTACTTGGGTCTCAAAAGCCAGAATTGGTTCATACGCCCCTGGGAAAATGGAGATTATGGTTCCTGTGGGTAATTTCTATAGATGTATCTTCCAGGTCACTATTTCTCTATTCAGTGCTGTTTGCTTCTTCACAGTCTAATTGTACACTGTAATTTTTTCATTTTTTATTTTATCTTTAATTTCTCTCTCTCTCTCTTTTTTTTTTTTTTTTTTGGTGAGGAAGATTGGCCCTGAGCTACTATCTGTTGCCAATCTTTCATTTTTTTTTCTCCCCAAAGCCCCAGTATATAGTTGTATATACTAGCTATAGGTCATTTTAGTTCCTCTATGTGGGATGTCGCCACAGCATGGCTTGATGAGTGGAGCCTAGGTCCACGCCCAGGATCCAAACTGGTGAACCCCAGGCCACCAAAACAGAGCACATGAACTTAAACCACTCAGACACAGGGTGACCCCCTATCTGTAATTTATTTGATGTAAATTTTAAATATATTTATTTTATAATGCATCAATAATTCCATTTCCTGAAGTGTCTGGAAATCTAATTCTGTTAGTTGTTGATTCTGTTGATTCCTACTGATGAAGGCCCATGTTTTGTGAATTAAAATTGTGAGCTGGTCTTTAGTGAGATTTTATTTGTAAGACTGCTGTGAGGCCTGGGTAGAAGACATGCTACATCAGAGAGACTCTGCTAAATGCTAGTTACCCCAGGAGCATTACTGGGATCACTTTGATAATTTCCCAGCTATAGATTTCCTGAACCAAGCAAGAAATGTCAGTTAAAACTCTAAATTTGTGTGAGGACAGGCCTGTGATAGCAAATTTTTAGAATATATTTTTCTCACTCAAAATCCAAGCCAAAACTGACAAGCTTCCCTGTTTCTGTTTCCCTTTCTCAGAAGCAGATTTTTTTAGATCTATCATTTCACTGAAGTATAGTCAGCCTTTGTTCACCCGTATTAGTGATATATTTTATATAGAGATAAAGTTCGTAGTCTCCATTCAAACTCCCCACCTGGTTTTGGCAGCTACCCAGGCTCTAATCCCTGGTTAACACTGGTTTTTGTCAAAGCTTCAGGGCCTGAACACAGAGCTGACTTCCAGCTTCTCTGAATTGGGTGGGAGTGCTAGAGATCTCCTTTACTTTGCGTGTGAAAGTGTTTGTTACATTTTATCCAGAATAGTTTGAAGACTTTATATTATTTGCCATATCATTGGACATAGTCGCCCCGTTTAAAACATATAGCATATTAAAGATTAAATTCACATAAAAGATATTTAAAACGCGCAAAATATTTAAATAATAGAATATGAAATATAAACATTTTAAAAATACTCTGTATTAACCACACCGCTTGATGAATATACCCATATTTTGGAATCCCTTATGTACCCCGCCCTGACGCTATTTCTCATCCCTTCACCCAGAGATTACCGTTATCCTAAATATTGATTAGTTATGCATGTTTCTGAACTTTATATAAATTTTACTGTAATATTCTGCTACTTGTTTTTGTTTTATGAATCAGTAGTATGTTTTAGAGATCTATCCTATGCCATTCATTCTTCAAATCACTCTATCTGGTTTCCAACCCCAACAAAGACCAGTAATGACTCTGCCTCGTTAATATTTGTCTACTGATTATGTGACTCTAAGTATCAACTATAACCCCAGGGAATTCTGGATTATTATCTCCAGGTCAGATCTCTCTTTAAGCCATCGTCTTAGATATTCATTCACGTGCCTCCCTGACATATCTATTTAACTGTGTCACAAACACCTCAAACTCACCAGGTACAAAACTGTACTTCCCCAGTGTTTCCCCACTCAGTAAATGGCATCACATCTATTCAGTTGCTTAATCTTTACTGACACTTCCTTGTCATTAAGCAACACCCCACACAAACACACATTTGTCACCTACCCCCCACCCGGATCCACTCTTTAACCTTCTCCACCCTGCTCTCTACTCCTGGAGATGAACTGTGTGGATCCTATGAATAGGCCCCCTTGCCCTCTCGTTGTCAGTTTAGTTCTGACAACATGAAGCTCTCAAAAAAGTCGGGAGGGAGGAGAATGAAGTTACAATAGAATGTGTATTAGTTTCTTAGAGTTGCTATAACAAATTACCACAAAATTGGTGGCTAAATACAACAGAAATTCATTCTCTCACAGTTCTGGAGTACAGAAGTCCAAAAATTAAGACGGAAGCAGGGCCATTCGCCCTCTGAAGGCTCCAGAGAAGAATTCCTTACCAGCTTCTGGTGGCTCCTGGCTTTCCTCAGCTTGTGGCAGCCTAACCCTAATCTCTGCCTCCATCTTCACATGGCCTTGTTCCCTGTGTCTCTATGTCTCAAATCTCCCTCCCTGTCTCTTTATCTAGGCTGGACCCTGAGTCAATACATATATAATATATAATAACATATATTATATATTTATAGTGTATATATATTTCTGTAAAACTTCACTAATATGAGACCAAAGTTCTAAAACAAAAACATGAAAGGATGAGGCAACAACAGCAACAGTCCACCCTAAATTTTAGGTGGACCCTAAATCCAGATGATCTCAATATCATCCACTTACCTATACTTGCAAAGACCCTATCTCCAAATAAGGTCAAATTCACAGGTTCCAGGGGTCAGGACTTAGACAAGTTTTACGGGAACATAATTCAACCCACTACAGATTATTTCCCCAGCTCACTTTAAGGTTGCCTTGGACTGGCTGTATCCCCCCAATCACTCCTTGAAAATCAGCTCTCTCTCCTCGCTATAGACTGAATGCTTGTGTTCCTCCAAAATTCTTATGTCAAAATTTAACCCCAATTTTATGGTATTTGGAAGTATGAACCTTTGGGAAGTGATCAGACCACATGGTAGAGCCCTCATGAATGGAATCAGCACCCTTGTAAAAGAGAGCCCAGAAAGCCCCCTTGCCCCTTCTGCCATGTGAGAACACAGCAAAAAGATGTCTATGAACCAGGAAGCGGGCTCTCACCAGACACCAAATCTGCCAGCACCTTGATCTTGGACCTCCTAGCCTCCAGAACTGTGAGAAACAAATTTCTGTCATTCATAAATCACCCAAGTCTATGCTATTTTTGTTACAGAAACCCAAATGGACTAAGCCACTCCTTTTAGGAGGTCCACAGGGCGAGGGGTGGCAACAGCTGCTGTTACTAGACACAGAGCAGTGCATTATTGTGGTTTTCCACACCTCACTCTTACTATCTTTGGAAGTACTCCTTTAATGACACTCTTATTGACGTACCCCTATTCTGAGTGTGTCATCTCTTCCTGCTGCCAGTATGATGTTAAATCTCCCAAATAAATATCTAGTTCATCCTCTTCTTTCTAGCTCCATGACCAATTTCTAACACAAGTCACTACCATCCAACTAAGAACACTGAAAAACTCCAAATAAGCTTCTCCACTTTGCTCCTAATCCTTTTCTAACCCATCTCTACTTGGAGTCTAGACTCATCATTTCTAAAATATAAACTGTACTATATAACTCTCCTAACATGTTTTAATGCGTACAAAGTAAAAAAGCAAAATAAACAAAAAACTGTATTTCTATACGCAACCAATAACTGGAAAACTAAATTTTAAAAATTTACAATAGCCTTTTAAAAACATCAAATATAGGCCCTACCCAAGAAGATAACAAAAATCTAGGTACTCAAAGTAGCATCCATAAAGTCCACCTTACAATAACATATCAGACATGGTAAGCAGCAAGAGAAAAAAAATAATAGTAGAAACAAATCCAGAAATAATTGAAATGACATAATTAGCAAAGACTTTAAAACAGATATTACAATTCATTGATATAAAGCAAAACATAAACATAATGATAGAATAAATATGGAATCTCAACAGAGAAATGGAAGATCTGAACAAGCTGCAAAGGGA